AGAACATCCGGGGGAGGGGGGTATTTTGGGGCAATGACGTTAGAGAGTCGGAAGCAGCTAATAGATGGCGACAGTATCAGTAAAAACCTTGTTATCATTTTGTGCAGGGGAGTGGGCAATCTATAGTTGTCTTCGTCTATGCCCCCATGGTTGCATGTCTGTACTCTGTCACTTGTGATCATTTTGCCGCTTTCCGCTCAGATATATTTACAACTTTTACTAGTTGTCTCTGGTGTTTGTATCTTTGTTTTTGTACAGTATTTATGTATGAGTTGTTTAGGGTAGAAAAATACATTAAATAAAATGGCTGTTAATACAGAACATTGTGAAAAACTCGAAGAACTGGTAAAAGATAAGAATAACATAGTAAGTATTGATTGCTTGTTTTAAGCTTAGTAATAGACTGTAAACTTAAATAATTATAGGTGACTGTACCCTTCTATGCCGCAACAGCAAATATTCCTTGGGACGAGTCTCAAAAAGCACTGGAAAAGTTCTTTGAGGCTAATAGGAATTCAGGAAAAATACATGCAACTTATGTTTTAAATGGTATCAGGAAGGACAATGGAAATGTGTCAGTTGTTCAAATTAAGGATGAGGCTTTAAAGCAACAAGAAAAACTATATGTAAATGCCCCAGCCAGTGTTATATTTAGTATTCAGAAAACAAATGACATAGACTTTAATATTATATCTTCAGTACAGCCTAAATCAGATGCCTTTAGTCATGAATTCAAGTAAGTACTTCCAAGTAGATTATGTTACCTGTTAAGTAAATGGTAAGCATTCCGGTAATATTTTTGCACTAGGGTGAATTAGCCAGTAGTCGGACAGTTATCATAAGTGCGAACTTAATTATTTTATTACATTTCGGATATTGAGGTAACAAATCTAAATCCTTTTCCAGGGAATAGTTTCATGAACAAGAAGAAGTTGGTGTGTACACACTGGATGAAATTCAATCAAACAAATTTATTAAAGTATATGTATGTAAAGAATGAAGAAGAAATGTATATCTATGTAAAGAAGTGTGTATGTACGTATAAATAAGGACAAGCGCTTTGGACAATTACGTCATCATCAGGGACACTAAAAAACAACAAACAAAGCAACCGTAAGCAACCTGGAGGATATCATGCAGACAATCAACAATCAAGTGAACATCCTCAAGAGCGCCGAATCGAACATGTAAAATAATGGTCTAAAGGGTTAAAATTGTAAATGACAAACTTACGAGAAAACAGACTAAAGTTAAAATTAGAATCAAATTTAATTAAAGGAATTTGACCAGTCGGCCTTAACAGTATGGCGACCAGTCTGGTAAAGTTAGCTCAAAAGCATCGGGCAGACACACTCCACATTTGGCTGACAAAGTGAATCTTTATCACCTTTTTTTTCCATTTCATTGTTTTACATGTTAAGGCCGACTGGTCAAGTTTCTTTAATCAAATTTGATTCTAATTTTAACTTTAGTCTGTTTTCTCGTAAGTTTCTCATTTACAATTTTAGCCATTTAGACCATTGTTTTACATGTTCGGTTCGGTGCTCTTGAGGATGTTCACTTGTAATTTGACGAGTCAGTTTTGTTTCCTTTTACTTTGTTTTTGTTTGCGTGATATCCTCCAGGTTGCTTACTGTTACTTTGTTATTTTTTAGTGGCCCTGATGATCTTTACATAAACTCGTTTGATTGAATAGTTTTATGGTTTGGCTTCAATTTAAATACAAAAGTTTTATTTTATAATCCGACTGCAAATTGTTACTTATTTTTAAAATTAAAAATGTACCGTTTTGCTAGTAGTCGGACAATATTTGCCAGTGGTCGGCCAAGTAATTGCTAGAAGTTCGGATAGGTACTTTCCGATTGGTTATGTCTGAATAGTCCTATATTACGAATTTCATAGTGACTAATACAAATTTACATTTGATGCACAAATATCATAAATATTTATTGAGTATGTTAGTAAATTGGTTTTAAAACAGGAACTAAACTGTTTCTATTATCTGTAAGTACTAACATTATTTTATTGTCCATAACAGAAAATGGGCTGTTTGAAAATATCAAGACAAAGAGAGTCTTGACACTAAGAAAAACAAATAAAAGATGAGATTTATACCTATTTATCAACCATCATTACATATTGACACATATTTTGTCATGTTGAACCACAATCTGTATTCCAACATCAACAATTTAAAGAAAATTAACTTATACTTAGACTAAGTTAGTGCAGATGGGCGGATAAAATAAAAGGACAAACACCTAGATGCAAGAACATCTGTATGTGCTGATTTCTTTACATTAGTCTATTGCATTAGTGCTGAAAACATCGATATCCAAGCTTAGCCAAAAATTGGCAACTGTAAGTAAAAAGATTGTATGAGATTACATGTTTTCGAAATTTTCACAATTTTTTATCACGTACTTTTTACATTGTTTACTGAAACTAGACTGATTTACAATATTTCTAATTTCCATTGGTAACAGATTATCAAATTTAATTCCTATGTAAATTATCAATTTTAGATTAAATGTAGTTTTAGGTTGAGGTAATTGCAGAGCTTTACTACTATTCAATCTAGCAGAGTGGGAATGTTGTACAAAATTTTTAAACTTATTTTTTTCTGAATAAATGAACAAGATGCGTATAAACTTTTTCCATTATATACAGTGTGTCCAGTATAAAATGATGTACATGGGGATATTGGAAACCGGTTAGAGTTACACGGTGGACCAAATGGGGAAAAAGTTGCGCAATCAAGTGCCTATAAATAATCTGTCATCAACTTCTTTGAACTCGGAATATCAACGGATATACAGGGAAAAAAAGAAAAAAGTGCGTTTTATAAAATCCTTTATATCTTGTTTAGTATAAAAGATACAATAACAAATTTTTTAGAGAGGGGAGGGGGGGTAAGAAATGAGCGTGTATTTGAAAATAAAGTAAAAAATAATCTAGGCCCACTATATTCAATGAGGCGGAAATCAACTTTTATTTTTCTTATGGGCGCCATATAGAATTTCTGCATTTTTAAATTCCCTTTTAAATATGCTCTTCAACCATGTATAACATGTTTATGTTAAGATAAATTAACAAAATTAAGATTTTATAGTAGTAGGCATTGATATTTCTCCCCATAGTGACGTTCGTTGTCTGTTTTAATTACCTAGGTAACTGTCAAAATATAATTTATTGTCAGTGTCAAGTGTTTGTAATTAATTGTGTGTTTCAAAATGAATCACTTTTCAAATTATGCAAAATACGATATGTTGGAGTGTTTTATTCTCTGTCGTAGAAATGAAGGTCTTATCACAGAATTTTTAAATCACGAATTTTCCAACAAGTGGATAAGCAACCTGGGATCAGTAAGATGGCCTGCGAGATCCCCTGACATAATACCGCTTGATTTTTTTGCATGGGGTTTCCTCAAAAATGTGGTATACTGTAAGTCATACGAAACCGAAGAGGAGTTGAGACACGCTGTTATAGAAGCTGTTAACAGAATTACCCCAGAAATGATCCGAAACTCCTGTGAAGCAGTAATGAGACGATGTATGTTGTGCGTGCGAGAAAACGGTGGCTTATTTAAACACCTACTTTAATCCTAAAATGTTACTTGTTCTTTTGCAGTGTTCGATGTATGATCAATAATAATTTAAAGTAATAATTAATGGAAATATCAATGCCTACTACCATTAAATCTTAATTTTGTGTATTTTAATTATTTATCTTGACCGAATATAAACATGTTATACATGATTGAAGAGCATATTTAAAGGGCAATTTAAAAATGCAGAAATTCGATATGGCGCCCATAAGAAAAACAAAAGTTGACTTCGGCCTCATTGAACATAGTGGACCTAGATTATTTTTTACTTTATTTTCTAATTCACGCACATTTCTTACCCC